TCCCGAAACATATCTTAGATATTTTCTCGACAAAACATATATACATATCGTTGTAGTCTAGTTGATAGTATACTTTAAATAAACTGTAGAAAAGTGATCCTGGATGAAACTTTTGTATGTATGTGGGGGTGGCAATGCCGGTTTCTTAGTTTGAATTTCATCAGTTTATTAATGTACGTAGTTCAATAAGTTAATATTAGGTCGTCAGGAATTTAATGTCACGCTTTCGAACATTTGCATTAATCACCTCCCAATAAACGTACATCACCTATAATAGTTAAACGAACCGCCTAAACGTCACGTTAGTGTAGCCTATATAATGTGTAAAGTCTAATATACTCTAATCCCTTATAGTGATAGCACACGACGTGACACATTCGGCATGTAATGCTGTTTGAATACAAGAAGGGAAACAACGCCTGTAGTCACAAAGAATATCAAAGAAGTTTATGGAAATGTTTCGAACGTTCGTAAGTGTCAACGATGGTTCAGCAAATTTCGTTCAGGTGACTTTAGCATTAAAAACTGTGATGGCAGGGGCCGACATATTGGAATTGATATTGATGCTCTGAAGACGCTTGTTAACACAACACACTCGTGAAATGGCCCTGAAATTGCATGCATCTCATGAAACAATACGTAAACATCTAAAAAATATGGGAAAACTCCATAAAGAATGTGTTTGGGTGCCTCACGACCTCCCCGATGATCATCGTTTCCAACGTGTGAACGTTGCTTCGTCTCTTCTGGCGCGTGAACCATTTTTGGACAGAATTGTCACCGGTGATGAACAATGGATTCCGTATGCGAATATTAAACGCCAAAAACAATGGCTCAGTCCTACACAAAAAACACTTCCGACCCCCAAACCTGGACTCCATCCGCAGAAAGTGATGCTTTGTATTTGGTGGGGCATCAAAAGAGTAGTTCATTTCGAACTCCTCAATCCACAGTGAACTGTCAATGCAGAGATCTATAGTCAGCAACTGGAACGTTTAAATCAAGTCCTTCATCAGAAACGTCCTTCACTCGTCAATCGGAAAGGTATTCTTCTTCTCCACGACAATGCATGTCCACATGTGGCACGTTTGACGTAACACAAGATTATGGAGTTGGGTTTGGAAATTCACCCCTAGCCACCATATTCTCCAGATATGGCACAATCAGATTACTATCTTTTTCGTTCGCTGCAACACTATCTTAATGGGAAAACGTATGCCAATGTGGAAGTGTTAAAGTGTTAAAGAGTGTTGGCTTCAAAGCCAAATGATTTCTTTAATCAAGGCATTAACAACCTAATTGTAAGATGAAAAAGCATCATCGATAAGAATGGAGACTATTTCATTTAATAAATGTTATGTTTTGATATACAAGTTGTTCGGTTTTTTTTCATTTAACAAAAAGCGACATTAATTTCTTGACGACCTAATACAAAACAAATTTTGATTCATATTTAACATAATTCATTAAAAGGCAAATAACAGATTGTTTGTTGTTAAACGTGAAGCTACTCAATGGGCCAACTGTGTTGTGCACAGTACGGGTATTAAAACTCGATTTTTAGTGTCACAAGTCTACAGACTTACCGCTGAGCCAATGGGGAGACAAAATAGTAACAATATTTTGAAACTAGTAGCAAGCGTGGTTTATTGAGAATGTGTATTTCGATGTTTCCACATAGGAACAAAAATCGTGAAGTGTTATTATGTATATATTGTGGTAAATTCGGAAACCATAATCATAATCAGAAATCATAATCTTGTAAAGATATAGTCAAAAATGTTTAGGTGAACAAAAGAAATTCAAAAACGTCATCAATCTTACTAAATGCCACATTAATCTCGTTCACACGTGCTCTAATCCTTTGTAACTTTAACACCTACTTGATCTTGTCTAAGCGATCGATAACATTTTACTGGTGTTGATTCTGTCTTGGAGGTTTGCGTAACATGCTGGCATCAAACATTCTTATATATCGTAATCTTTCACAATTTTAAAAAATTGAATCTTTTTTTTTTTTTAATTCACAAGATGTTCAAGCATATACGAAAAACTATGGTTTAGATTCACCGAAACATCACGACCTACGCGATTCTTGTAAGAAATAAGCAATATTGTCTGTGCTTATTGAATTCAAATATCAAATTCTGAGAGATTTTGAAACGTTTTTCGCAATTTTATTATGAAAACAAATTTTGTCAGAAGACAAACTTCACATGCGCCGTCAGATCTTAGGGGGTCTTATACTGGCATTTCAGTTAAACTATTATTACAATGCAGGTAAACGAATCTGCATTGTAATAATAGTTTAATTATGTCATTAAAAACGGTAAGAAAATTGAACTGAAATGTTTGTTATATAATTAGTGAGACCCAGTGGCGGTGCTACAGAAGGTCAAGGGGGGGGGGCATTTGACCATCCCCAAATTTAAACCTACGTACATAGAACAGATGTAATGAGTATAACAAGTTCGCACGCGCACTACCGTTTTACTGGATGTTTTTTTTTCTTGTATACTAGAAGTCAACCAGATATATCCTACAATAATAGGTACCG